TATATATATATATATATATATATATATATATATATATATATTTATATATATATGTATTATGTATGTATATATATACACACACACATATACACACATGCACATACATACACACACATATATAATCATATTCACATGTGTTCCCGTCCATGCACGTATATGTTTGCATTTGTGGAATGAATATATGTGTCTACGTGTATATGTGTGTGTGCATGTATCGGCCAGTTTGTTAAAACTGTGCGAGGAGAGACCCAATGAATATTCACATATGCGGGAATGCATATACACTGAAATGTATGCATATATGTTTATCTATCAGATAGATATACATTTATATATCTATCTGCCCGGAAGTTATACATGTCTAGACTGATATACAAGCATTTATTTCTAGATATGTGCATGCTTGTATAATGAATGTTCATTGGGACGGTCTTCGCACAATTTTAACAAACCGGCAGATATGTAAACGATATTCCGTGTGTTCTTTCAGGTCCTGTTATTGGCATCAGTGGCAGCAGTTACAGCTGCCCCGCAGGGTTATAGCCTGCCAACGCCTTCTGGCCCGTCCTTTGGGTCGTCCTCTGGGTCGTCCTTTGGGTCATCCTCTGGGTCCTCCTTTGGGTCGTCCTCTGGATCGTCCTTTGGATCATCCTCTGGATCGTCCTTTGGGTCGTCCTTTGGCCAATCCGTTGGTCCGTCCTCAGGTGGATGCAGTCCCGGACAAGTGCGACATGTGGACGGTAGATGCGTGACTCCGCGAGAAAACAGAAGAGTGTTCTTGTATGAAGTTCCTTCGAACGTGGTGTTCAACGGCGCTCCAGTCAACATTCCCGAGCCAACAGTGGAGACCAACATCGTGCTCATCCGAACGCCCGAAGGATTGCAGGGACCTGATCCCGTGGTCATACCTCCTCCGAGACAGCAGCACGTCGTGTACGTGCTGAACAAGCAGTCTGAACATGACCAGAGGGTGATCGAGGTCACGGCGCCACCGCCATCCGACCCTGAAGTTTACTTCGTCAACTACGCCGAAGGCGAGAACCCAACTCTTCCTAGCGGAGTGGATCTACAGAGCGCTCTGGGCGCTGCTACTCAAGGCGGCGGTCAGGTGATCGGCGACAGCGGCTCTGGTGTCGGCGGTGGTATTGGCGGTAGTATCGGTGGCGGTATCGGAGGTGGCAGCAGTGGAGGCATCAGTTTGGGAGGAGGCGGAGGATTCGGAGGCAGCGGCGGAAGCATCAGCTTGGGAGGAGGCGGAGGATTCGGAGGCAGCAGTGGCTTCAGCAGCTCTGGAGGAAGCAGTGGATTCGGAGGCAGTGGCAGTTTTGGATCCGGAAGTGGAGTCGGTGGATTTGGAGGCGGTTCGGGAGGCGGCAGCATCGGTGGAGGCTACACTCCACCAACCCAGCCCTCAAACCTGTATACTTCACCCTAGAAGCCGTGATGTTAACAGCCAAGTGTGCTGCCTAATTATGAATATAGAGAATAATGTTAGGCCTAACTTATGAATGTAAACATTTTTGCCAAATAAAATTAAAACATTAGTCCTATTCCCTGACAATTCATGTTTCCTACAGAACTTAAGATGCACATCTGAACAAATATGCACCCACTCACATATGAATGTGTGTATGTTTGAAATTTATGTATAATTATATGTGTGCGTAATATGTATATTACATATACGTATACATATAAAATATATATATACATATGTATTATATATATATATATATATATATATATATATATATATATGTATGTATGTATTTATGTATATATGTATATATATATTATATATTGATGTATATATTATATATATATATATATATATATATATATATATTATATATATATATATATATATGAAGTCAAATTCAAAGTTGTTCTCATATCCATCAGGACGTAGGGGCATGTTTCGTACAGAAACTTGCTTACATACTTATATATATATATATATATATATATATATATATATATATATATTATATATATTATATATATGTATGTATGTATAATATAATACATACACATGCAAACATATGTAAATGTATATATATATATATATATATATATATATATATATATATATATATATATATAATATATATGTGTGTGTGTGTGTGTGTGTGTGTGTGTGTGTGTGTGTGTGTGTGTGTGACGTATATATATACATATATATTTATGCATATATGTATACATATATACCTGTGTGTGTATACAACACACACACACACACACACACACACACACACACACACACACACACACACACACACACACACACACACACAACAACACACATATATATATATATATAATATATATATATATATATATATATATATATAGTACACAAGCATATGTTTATATATGCACATATGTACATTCATATATATAGTGTATGAATATAGAGATACACACACGCACACACATATACACAACATACGAAAATATACAAGTGTTTAAACATAAGCGTGTGCGTGTTTTTGTGAAGCTC